CCTCTGCCGCCCCAGCACCACCACCTCCGATCACCGGGGGAAAAATGCCACATGCATTAGGAATGCCATATTTATGGCAGATTCAATGAAAATTTCGGTATTTTCAAAGAGTAATATCTCATTTTTGGCATTTTCAGGAAGAAATGACATTTTTTAGAAAAATTGGCATTTTTTATAGAAAAATGACATTTTTTTATAGAAAAAATAGCATTTTTTACACCGGTCGGAGGTGGTGGTGCAGGGAGGCAGTACAAACGGTGGGAAAGGCATCTATATATTTTTTATGAACTTTTACTATTTATTACTCCGTATTAAGTTTTAATTTTTTTAAAAAATTGTTTTTCAGTTTTTATTTTATAAATACTTTATTAATTTTTTATTAATTTTCTACGGGTTTTATTATTTTTTACGAATTTATTATGAATTAAAACATTTAATTATGACTTTTGACTACTTTTTACTCATATTTAAAGGAGGGGTAAGAATGGAATGAAAAAACAGCCATGCTTCCAAATAGGAGTAATATGGTCCTATTTTGGAATAAAAATATAAGATGTCCTATTTTTTATTTTTGCCATAGTTTTACTCTTATTTGAGGTAATTTCTATAAAATCTATTGGGGGAAGTGTATCTCAATTTCTTGGAACATGTAAATGCACCTCATTATGTTACTCGGTCCTTTATATACGTAATAGTCATTTGTATGTGGTAGTATCAAGGGGTGAAATCAACCCAGATAACAATTCTATGTTTAAAAATTGCGTAAAACTCTCACTATTATAATTATTCATGCGCAAAAATCCCCTCAAAAACAAATTTAACAATTTGGAAATCGTTTATGTTAATATTATGATGATTGAATATGCAAGTGAGTTTATCAAGATCTCTAAATTATCCAAAAATACTAATGAATAATAACTAATTTTCTTTTCTTTGACAATTGAATTTGTTAATTAGGGATTTTGCGCATGAATAATTATAACACGAGGGGGTTGATGCATTTTTAAAGGGACCAATGTACCGAATGTACATATCACGGAATTTGATGCACTAAACCAATTTTAACACTTCAATGAATTCCACAATAGTCAATAAAATATTGAGTTACACATGTTTTATTATAATAATTGAAAATTTTCATAACATAACATTCCAACTCAGCTGGTTGTGAGGTTATCGTGTCTAGTGGAAGGTTTCGAGTTCGAAACCCGCTAAGCACATAAGGGTTTGAAACTCAATGAAGTGTATTTCAGCCCTGATTACTCCAGCCCCCCCCCCCCCCCCAGACCCTTTCCCCTAGACCCCTTGGAGTAAAAAAAATGTATTACCTCCGTTTCACTAACACTGGGACATGAAGATGTGGTGCAGTTATTGAAAAAAGAGTTTTTGTGATTGATACTTAATTGATAAAGTTAAAATGATTTAGAATCATACAAAATTTTCCAAAATTGTAATGGAAAATTTTAGTGGGACAGATAAAAAGGAAAGACTAAACAATCTTAGCAAGACGGAAGGAGAAACTCATATCGAACTAATATATCGTACAAGTGTATTATCTTGTGTAAATAATGATTCTAAATTTAATTTAGAACAATTATATAAATATTAAATTAAAAATTAAGAAATTACATCCCGTACGATGCACGAGTGAAAAACTAGTTAACAAGACACCAAAATACAGTCCTCAATCCTCATAGTCATTTAGATAACATGAATCTGATGATGTAGTAGTAATCCTTGCCGTTTGATTATGTAGATCAAAGGCTCCATTTAATTAAAATCGAGGTAGCAGGACATCCGGGAAATAGGAAATCTCTGCTAGGGCAACAAAGCAATTTCGTCAGAAGTTTATATACCGTCACACCTGACACCTCCAGCCCTTACTTCCGCCGAGGACTTCCACGAAATGAAAAAGGACGCCTTCTTCGTTGAAATATGTCTACACTGAAGTATGTGACTTCCGTTGAACTCACCAGGTCAAATTAAGTCTACGGCTCTCCTTCACCGTAAGTAATTAGCCCTTTACCGAACTCAAATAGCTTCTCCTCACCTTCATCTCCGAACTCAAACGGAGATTTTTATCATTGAAATGCTATCAAAAAGTTTGGTTTCCAATCTGCACTGTAAGTTGTATTTCATAGTTTTCAACTTTTCTAAATTTGCTTCTAACAAACCTGGTGAAGCTGAGATTGGTTCAACCATTTTTTTAATTTTAGATCTAGTTTTTCTTCAATTGGTTCAAGTCAAGGTTTATTTTGCGACTTTGTAACTTGATAAACACAAAATTTAGCAAAATTCGATGGTGCTTTTTCTCAGAAGCTGGAATTTATTTCTAGTTTTTGTTTATTCTTTAAAAATCTCTTCAATTTTAGGCTTTGATTATCTATAACTTTATATAACTGGTTATACTAAAAAACCTGCTATTCTTACTTATGAACACTGCTAGTGTTTCTGAAGTTCTAAATAAGCTACACATAGTCTCTGTTTATGTATAGATTGAGATTAACTTATACCTACCAAGTGTTTATGGAAATGTTTAAATGATAATGTGTGTCAATCTTATTTTACATGTCAATTTTAGATTGGTAATTTGAATCTATAAATATGCACTTTACATTTAATAATGTCATAATTATAAGTTTAGTTACGATAACTGGTAATAATGTCAACATAGAAGATACAATAGTGGAAAGGTATTGATCTGACACTATTACCAGCGACATAAGATTAAAAAGATTCACTAATTTATAGAATTGGCCAACTTTTATATGCAACCTCATGACTTTTAGTATGTATTTTTTGCTACTATTTACTTAAGACTTTAGTTTTAAAACATGACTTTGATGGTGTCTTATGATTGAAGGCTTATTATGTGTGTATGTTTGTTGAATTTTGAAAATGTAATTTTCACTGTTTTTTTTGTTGTGCAAAAAGTTATTAATGTTCAAATAGTAGTTATAAATACGGAGTATTATATTAGGAGTTACATTTCTTGTTATTACCTAGTAGTATTAGTTACAATATAAGTATATAACAATAGTTGTAAGAGTAATAGAGATAGTACTCACAGTAGTATTAGTAGCAACAATAGATGTATGAGGATGAGGCAGTCTATTTTTTGTTGAAGAACGTTGAGGTTTTAAGCCTACATGAGCTAGAAATTGAGCTTTGTAAGTGTATTTCTTAGAAGTTTTATTTTGTCTTCTTTGCAAATGAGGGGGGATGCAAATGAAAGAAGAACGAATTTTGAACAAGGTAATTTCATATCTTTAACTCTTTAAGAGGTTTGTTATTTCTTGTTTTTATATCTTAAATGTATATTTGTAACTCGGAAGTCTCTTCTTAATGTATAAACTTTGCTCTCTTTTCTCTTGATAGATTTTGTGAGGGTGGTATGTAAATCTTATAGGATTTTTTTAGTTTCCAAAAAGTTACAGATTTTCTCTTAGTGGTTATACAAATTCTATTATAAGTTATACTGTGTTAAGAATTTATTTTATTAGCTAATAATTAAAATAATACGGAGTAGTAATAGTAGTTCTAGGTATTCTCTATTTTTATTTCTCAATAAGCTTTGTTATTGATTTGAGTTCTGCCGCTATTGTGAACCAAGAGTTTTGTACTTAGCTTTGGAAGTTATGATTTTGGCTCTATTAGTCTATTCATAAAACTATGATTTACTTTTTAATCTTTGCTTATGGCCTAATACAAGTTTGAACCAGCCAATTAAAATGACAATGTTATGGTGAAAAAGTGAGAAATCTTCACTTAATAGTTATACATTTTGTATTAGAAGTTATAGGGTTATGAGTTTCGTGTATCAGCTAGTGATTGTAATGATAGTAATAGTTGCCGGTATTTTCTATTTTTTGTTTTTTTAATAAACTTTGTTATTGCTTTGAGGTTTTCACCTAATGTGAGCTAAAAGTTGGATATGAAGCTTTAGAAGTTTCGATTTTGACTTTATTAGTGTAATGATAAATTCTGATTTATCTTATTTTTGCATATGATGAAACCAGGTATGAGCCGGCTGATTAAAATGACAATGGATGGATAATGGAATCATACTGAGCCAGTTTATTAAACCTACTAGTCAACTTCCAAAACAATGGATGGATAATGAATATATACTTAAAAGTTATGTTTTTTCCTTAATTTGTTTTAAAATCACACTAGATTTTTCACCCGTGCGTTGCACGGGATAAAGTTAATAAATGTTGATTAACTTTATATATTTATAATAGGCTCCGTACTTCAAATCTTTGATGATAGTATAAAATAATAAAAATTATTACTTTCATCCCATTAACATTTAGACATGAATAGGTGACCCGTTTATTAAGAAAAATGAGATTATGTGGTTGATATTGAATTTATCAAAGTAAGACTAAAGTAAAAATGATTTGGAATCACAAAAACTTTACCAAATTTGATATGTGACAATATTAGTGGGATGGACCAATTCAAAAAGAAAATATGAGACAATTTTAGCGGGACAGAGGAAAGTAAATATAAAATATTGTTTCAAGAAAAAGTACACTAAAGCATTGTTTGAAACTGCTTTTGAAAAGCACTTTTGGGCTTTTTTGTCAACAGAAATCAAAATAGCCACTTCACCGTTTCTGCGTCGAATGAGCTCAAAGCAGCTTTTTTCAAGGTCTTGGTAATTTGGTAATTCTTGGTAATTAGGGGCGCATTGATATTGTTAATATGCAATGTTGTATCCCATTATTGCCCTTCTCTCTTTCCTTTATACGTCACTCCAGGCACAAAAGGTTTAATGAAAGAGGGGCATTTTCGTACATTAATAAAAAACTACATCAATAATCAATTTTTTACCAAACACTCCAATTTCAACACTTTTTTGTATAATCACTTGTTTCCAAACACTATCAGCTTTTACAATTAATCACTTTTTCAAATTTCATTAAAAAACACTTTTTTTAAGTAGAAGCAATTGCAAACACTCTCTAATTATACATACATCCTAACACCGTCTACATCTTCGCGCCGTCTAAAAACTTATACATGAGCTCCATCAATATGAAAATAAGTTTAAACTACGTCAATTTTGGTTTTCCCTGCATTCTAGCAACGTCAATAAAATACATTCAACACATTTATTTACACACCAGTTTATGTAATATTGGCCTTCATAATGGAAAACATGCATCTCCAACCAACCAACTTCTATGCATTGCTTATCTGCTACAAAAGGCAAAGGTAAAAGGAAATACTTAGTGAGGAGCATTGGAATGAACAAAAACAAATTCAGATGACTAACATTTGTAAAAGTAAAAGAAAAAATTGTAGGGAAACTTGTATCTTTCATTGTCAAGGATGTATCGTTCTTAATTAGATGAAGACATCCTTTCACTCACAACAACTATAAAGTGCTTAAATGATTTATAACACAAAAGGAAACAATAAGTTTAACGAAAATCAGAATAACAATTTAGAAGTTGGAAATGGGAGGGAATAAACAATTTCCGAACGGACAGAGAGGGAGAGTCAAATGTTTTACTGGTATTCACAAATGGAGCGATAAAAATTTGAACTGCCGCAGGTTAAAATCCCTATTTCCAGTGAATTGGACCAATGAAAGTATTCTTTGATATCAAATTTCCAGTGAAGGGATCAAAATCAGTCTAGACAACCCTATACTTTAATCAAGCTATCACAAGCAACTACAGTTCTTCTGAAGAGGTAAATGAGTAAACTATAATGTTTTTGAACAGCCTTTGCAGTATTGATGTATAAAGAATCAGAAAATAGAAACTATATAGTTTGAACATAAAACATAAAGCCTTTAGCCTAGAACTTAAGAAGAATAAAAAAATCAGTCCTCATAAAGAAGCAAGGGCATAATTATAAGAGCCTGGATATTAAACATAGAATGGTCAAATACCTTTTGGCCGCGAGATGCTTGGAAAATTTCCAGAGGTAAATACATTGGTCTAGGTATACATGGGATAGTAGATTGGTTTAAGGACAGAAGCCCGTGAATCCTTCAAATCAGCGGCGAGGCTAGATCTAGAGTGAAAAGTCGATTGGTTTAGGGAAAGAAGCCCCTGAATCTCGTCGCTCCGTGACGGGTAAAGAGGGATTGCGGAGGTATGGGTGAGATTGCAGTCGTGCTTTTGGACCTCGGAGACGGCAACCTTTGAATCAATAGCGAGAGAGGGAGGCAACATACTTTCACCCGGAGCAACACCTTCCCTTTCATCCCTAGAACAATGATTTCGGCTAGATTATTTTTCAACATTTGTTGATTCTGACTTGAGAAGAAGAGTATATTCATTGATGTAAAGATGATATGAGGAGATTTGAGGAGGCTTCGGCTGGGTCGGTGAATTATTCAAGGGGATATGAGAAGTAAACGAATAGAAATGAGGTGGAAGGTGGAAGCCGTATGATTGAGTTTACTAATAAAATCGGACGGACGATGGAAGAGTTGTAGTGAGCGGGAACTTCTTTTCAAGAATTGTAGTGCTATTAAGGAGAGGATTTGCTGATTCTGACTTGAGAAGAAGAGTATATCCATTGATGTAAAGATGATATGAGGAGATTTGAGGAGGTTTCGGCTGGGTCGGTGAATAATTCAAGGGGATTTGAGAAGTAAACGAATAGAAATGAGGTGGAAGGTGGAAGCCGTATGATTGAGTTTACTAATAAAATCGGACGGACGATGGAAGAGTTGTAGTCAGCGGGAACTTCTTTTCAAGAATTGTAGTGCTATTAAGGAGAGGATTTGAGGAGGTTTCGGCTGGGTCGGTGAATTATTCAAGGGGATATGAGAAGTAAACGAATAGAAATGAGGTGGAAGGTGGACGCCGTATGATTGAGTTTACTAATAAAATCGGACGGACGATGGAAGAGTTGTAGTGAGCGGGAACTTCTTTTCAAGAATTGTAGTGCTATTAAGGAGAGGATTTGTTGATTCTGACTTGAGAAGAAGAGTATATCCATTGATGTAAAGATGATATGAGGAGATTTGAGGAGGTTTCGGCTGGGTCGGTGAATTATTCAAGGGGATTTGAGAAGTAAACGAATAGAAATGAGGTGGAAGGTGGAAGCCGTATGATTGAGTTTACTAATAAAATCGGACGGACGATGGAAGAGTTGTAGTGAGCGGGAACTTCTTTTCAAGAATTGTAGTGCTATTAAGGAGAGGATTGTTTTGAACGCTCTCGTTTCTTTTTTCATTTCAATTTTCACTCTAAATTAGATTATGTGTGTTAAAATATAATGGTGGTTAGTGAGTACCATGTATGATTGATTAATAGTTTGATCTATTGAACAACTTTTAGCATAGAAACATAACTCATAACATAAAAACAAATGTCACAATTGATCAAGCACTTGCTTGTAGGAATAGTACAACTCTTGACCTTAAAAATATAACTTTTAATAGAAATGCAAAATCTTTATAATAAAATTTATTTATTGTAGCATAAATTATATAACTAATGATTTTGATGTTTTCAGCTAATGTTAATTAAAAGTTATGAATTTAATTTTAGAAGTTACTATCTTGTATCTATTAGTTATACGATAGTATGTATGTACATTCATCTTTATTGCAGAAGATTAAAGAAAACATTGAGGCACAAAATGAAGATGACAATGGTGCTAACAATGAAGTTATTCTAGAAGTTGCTTGGCGGTGATATACACAAGTTGGCACTCAACACTAAAAAGAAGAAATTGACAAGGACAACACCACTGAATCTAAGAAGAAAAGGGTTAAACATTTCAGATGTGATAAATGTCATTCTGTTAAGAAGCAATTTTTTTTATGAAAGAAGCAGAAATTTTGTTAATTGATTATATTTTTTTTGTTGCAAATAGAGTTGAATGTAATGCCCTTGAAGTTTTAAATCAAAGGGCCCTTTTAGGTTGTAATAGGGCGTAATATGTAACAATTTTGCTAGAGATCGAAACTCTACATTAGTACTCATAGATCTCATATTACTTCGCCTAAACTTTCGTTGTTTATCGGTTTTTCTATTGTTCTTCCCATATCAGTATTGCACATGAATGTTCAATTAAATGTTGCATTTTCTGCATCTTTAACTTCCAAATCCAACTCTCTCATGCTTTGTTTTCAATATAATTCCTATTTGCTCTCAATAAATGATCTCTCTTTCTTGATAAGTTTTACCATCACGATAAATCTCCAATATATTCATCATTCTATTTAGACATAAACCCTTTCTTCACTAGCTCTCAGAGTACCAAACTGCCAGTTCAAGTAGGTGCAAATGCAATGGACTTGTACACATCTAATGACATTTATGATATACGAAGTACAAAATAATCACACAAAATAGATAGGTATATCATAATGTAGGCTATGAGGGATTCGAACCCTCACATATGTGTATATATTCACACTGCTCTACCATTTGAGCTAATAGCCCCTCACATATGTGTATATATTCACACTGCTTTACCATTTGAGCTAATAGCCTTATCATTTGTATTTTTGTTTTGTTTTTCTAGTGCAATATCTATTATCTCCAATTCTCCATAATATAAAGTCTCTGAGAAACTAAAACTACCCATTGTTTTCTATTGTAAACCACTTTTTGCATGCTTAAAAGCCATACAAGTAATTATATTAGCAAGGTCTCTATAAAAAAAACTCACCTGCTAATATCGAGCACATAATAAATAACATATATGATTAATAGTCAGACGGAAGTGTTCTTCGATACACTGCAACAAATAAGCAATACATTAGATCTCTCATAAGCTGCTTCATTAATATGTAGTTTACAAACAAATGTATAGATATTGCATATTCATACTTGCTTGCACACAAAAGGACACTCATCTTTAATGATACACATCCAGTAGGAAGCATCTAGGAGCGATCTCCATTTCAGAATTGAGACTTTTATAGAAGAAAGTGATCAATCATTTGTTTAATAATGACTGGAACTTCTGAATGTGCACTCTCGGCTTTTACCTATATAATACAATGAGATGCATATTTAATTTTGCTGATATAGAAGTTGACATCTACATTCTCCAACGACAACCGAGATAATAATGTCACCAATTGCTCTTCTAGCTTGTCTTGAGTATCATCTTTCATTGCAATGGAATCACCTTGCTCACCATCACTTGCTTTGCATGTACCGCTCTTTATACACACCACGTGATAAAATTCAAGGGTACAAAACCAGCAATTCTCGATCTTGACCCTTCTTTGAGAGAATCAGTAGATAGGTCATCTACTTTTGCCCTTGTTGGAGGACTATACAGTCTGCCAATGGTATATCTAAACAAACTTGTCAAGAGAAAAGTACTAACTTGTTGATTCTCTTAAGTTTGAGAGTAGGAGCAGCTACTTTTTTATGTATTTAAAATTTTCAGAGGTAAACTTCTAAAGTACGCATAACACAATTGGATAACATAAAAAATTATTAATTTAAATGAGTTGCAAACCCTAACAAGTCAACCATAAAAGAACTTGTATTGCAGATAATCTAACTTTTAAAAAACGAAGGTTAACTTCTAATATAAAATAATTAACTTCTAACAGCAGATCTCAAACTAGTCACACACACAAAATGATCTAGAATAGTTTCACCACAAATGCCAATATCTTTCAGTAGAACCCAAAAGTCAAGAATATAATGGCATAATGACACAATATCACTAAACTATTACACATTTGAGATCCGCAAATTCTACCAAATCTTAATGTGATTTGAATAGGGAGTTTTGGAGGATTTCTTACAACTCTATTTAGAGAACTCTACATAAAGTCTTCACTACATTAACATACTATTTAAAATATCAGGCTCATATGTGCTGAGCTATATTAGTTACCAATATTCTCACACCAAATGAAAAATAGATATCACTTGTCACTGGAGCATTTCAACAAACACTTTATAGACATAACTTGAGCACAATATTTTTGTAGAGTCCAAAAGAAGTGATGTATGGACTAGGGTTGTTCCACTAGCTACGTATTATAATGAAGCACAAAAATGCATAAGGAAAGAATGAAATACATATTAGCAACAAAATAGTAAATTATATTTTACAAAATTCATGAGTAGCTCAATAGCTACTGTATGGCAACCATGCTTGATGGAGAATATTATATAAGTCGTCATCAATAGTTGAGAAATAATGCAAATTGTATTGGACTGTAGGCTGTAGGAACTATATATTTCAATTTTGAAGTGGCTTTCAGTATTGAAATAAATCGGATGGTAGAGGAGTAAGCAGTACAGATTCAAGATAAAAGTAAGGACTTAAGCATTTGAATAAGTACCTGGAATTCTGGAAAAGTTCTAAAGCGATGAATAAACATGTTTGAGAGTTCTGGTAACCAGCGCAGGAGCAGAACATCGACGATGGAGGATGGGGGGGTAGAGAGGGAGACTGAGTTGAAATACTTACGAAATATTTCAGACATTTTCCAACTAATAAACCGGTACTTGTTTTGTAATATTTACCAAACTGCCATTAATGAAGCGCATGATGTTTTAACGAATCTAACAGTGGAAATTAGTTCTCACTTTTCAGTTTTAGAGGGAGTTCTCATGGGATCTTTTCCATATATATATATATATATATATATATATATATATAGGGGAGGGTTCAAATACAAAGAGGTCTTCCCATGCAAAGTGAGAATTAATCTCGTGCATTCATTTCCATATCTAATGGCTCAAAGTGAGCCAAAAGTGAACTAAATTTGATCAAAAACGCGGTGGCAATTCCGTAATTAAAATGAATTTTTTTTTGCCATTGCAAAACAGTGCAACAAAAACACGCAAAAGTGAAACGTGGTAAGGAAAAAGTGCAATCATTCGCACTTTGCACGGGAGAACATCTTTTTATTTGAAAGATTTTACAGGAACTATGTATCAAAACATATTTGGTAGAATTTTGGCACGACTTTCACACAGTGTTCACACGGCTTTGGTATTAAACATCATTTAAGAATATAAATTACTAAAGAATTTTATACTTGTATTTTAAGAAATATTTGCAATGAAGCCAAAGATTCACTATTTTTTTGCTTGAGATTATGATGGAATAAAGTAAAATGCCTAAATAAACTGTCTGCGCTTCTTTGTTATGAAGCAGCAGACGCGATTTTCACTATGGGTCATCCAGAAACAGTCTCTCTGTGCTTTAGTACAGGGGTAAGACCGCGTACATCCGACCCCCTTACGCCACCGTAAGTGGGAGCCTTTGTGGCACTGGGGTAAATGAAAATGATGAAAATGGATTTTAAGAAATATTTGATATGAGAATGTTATATTCTTTTAGGCTGTGTGGGGAAAAAATTATGCTTGAGCAAAACATTTATGTCATTAACACTTAAATACAGAGTATGTTATGACCTAAATATATAATCAATAACATCTTTGAACATATAAAGGTCAACGGTGTTAAAATAAATTCCAGTATGTCGTTCAGTAAAGGTGTAACCAATTCACACTTTGCAGGATAATAGGTGTGATGAAGAAGAACATATGGCATGCATGTAAATTTGAATTTGACTATTTAACTCGGGTTTAGTCAAAGTTTGACTTTGATCAGAGTTTAGAAAGAGTGAAAGTGTGAATAAAGTGGAAATGTATGATCATATTTGAATAAGAAAGGAAATGAATGTTAGTCACACAAAACTCATCAAAAAAAAATATAGAAAGTAATATTTGAAAAAAAAATTAGGAGACGAAGGAGGTAAAGTTTTAAGAGACGGTGATAACAAACTCTATTTTTTTTTGTTACAACTAAGGATTACTCTATCATTGATGAAGTTTTTTTTACTTGACGATTGATGAAGGTTAAAGATGGGAAATTGCACATCCATTTGAAAAGGAGGGAGTAAAACTTTAGAAAAATACTATTTGTACTCAACTTTATACCCACCAATGTGAGAACTATTTTTTATCTGGGAACCCCGATCACAGACAAAACAAGGTTTTGTGTGTGAACGGTACTCACGGACAAAAAAATAGCTTCTCACATTGATGGATACAAAGGTGAGTATAAGAGTTGGTAGAAATGGTTCCTTGGTGGGTATATGCAAATAACTCATGTTAGCCGTAAAAGTGTAGTGTTTCTTCGATACGATGTGGCTATATTTGGTACGTTTTTTCTTGTACGGTCAAACGGATGATTCAATACTGACATGCGTTCAGGACAATTTATACCCTGGGATCGGCGCATCATGAGGATGGTGCGCCTGATCCCAAAACGACGCACCATTCATTATTTTTTTTCTTTTATTGTTAAAAATTGTATAAACTTTTTTATTTGATATCCGATTTTTATAAATTTTATATCAATTTTTTTTTTATTTTTCATGATCTATCAAATGAGACCAATATTGCTTATGTAATTTTAACAAATTATTTTGAAGTTACATTTGATAATATATCATGAAGTTACATCTTCTTCTGCGCGAGTTACATCTTATTGTACGCGAGTTACATCTTAATATACACGAGTTACATCTTAATGTATGTGAGTTACACCATGAAATAAACCCTTGCTACATCTTTCATTTTTATCATTTAAAAAATAGTGTATGAATATGAAATACAATATACTTATTTTATGTGGATTAATAAAATTTTGTATTAAATTGGCAAAGAAAAAAATTAATTCAGTTATAATTGAATTAGTTCAAGATAAAGATAAGTAAAAAATCACAAATAATTAGATATAACTCACACATAATTACATGTAACTCGCGCATAAAAGTATGTAACTCGTGTATAACAAGATGTAACTCACACATAACAAGATGTAACTCACACATAATTACATGTAACTCTCGCATAAAAGTATGTAACTCGTGTATAGCAAGATGTAACTCACACATAATAACTTGTAACTGGAGTATAAGATGATGTAACTTCGTATATTATCAAATGTAACTCCAAGCTAGAAGCAAAATAAACAAACTCAATATCTTAAAAACCTCTAAAAAAATATATTATAGAAAAAGTGTATGCATGTAAAAATATATTACAAAAAAATGTATGAATGTAAAAAATTAAAATTACATAGGCAATATTGGTCTCATTTGAAAGATCATGAAAAATAAAAAAATTTGGTATAAATTTTATAAAAATCGGATCAAAAATAATAAAATTATTAACAATTTTAAGAAAATGAGAAATAAAAAATAAAGGGTGCACGGTGCTCACCATGCACCGGTACCACGGTATAAGCACTATGAGTTCAGTTACAAAATGTCAAAATACTCTGTATTTTGAGCGAAAGTAGATACAAGCACTTCTGTGTTTTTGTTTTTGTTTTATTACATAGTATTCCTTATAATTTTAAAACTTATACTCACGTATTGAAGAAGCCTCCGTAAACTTTTGTATTTGTGTACTTAAATACACATTTTGAATGGCTAAGAAAAATAGGTATACTTAGTTTAAGTACTCAGTGAACTTCCCTTAACACTCTGTATGTAATTTATATGTATTTCAAAATTTTGAATAAGAGGATGTTGGACTGGCTTTTTTTGTTCTGTATAATATAATAAGTGAGGTTTAATTTATTTGTATATAATTAAACTGGATCTAATCAGATCAAATGAAATTTGACGAATTTAAAAAAATTAAACCTTAGCAGTATGGACTACAATTCTACAAATATAAAAGATTGAATCAGATGAGATCACAATTAGATAATAATAAAATACAATTTTCCCATATCATATCAGCTCACACTAGACAAAATAGAAAAATGTCAAGTGCATTTCAGATCAGACTTGGCGCCCATTTGGTAACACCCAAATCGGCTACATTGGCTGATTATGCTAAAATTTATGAAGTTGTGGCTGAAGTGGCTAGATTGACTGATTCTGTTGATTTTTAAGAAAAAATTATACTCCGTATTTAGTATATATTTTATTAATAAATTAAAGAAAAAATTATATGAAAAAATAGTTATATGATCTTTACCAATAACTTCAACCTTCAACCAATACAGCCAGAAAAGTAACTTCAACCTTATTTTTCTTATTAGAACACAATTTAACGCGCGAAATCAAAAGTTACGTGTTTGGTGGAAAAAGCTGGCTGATAAACCGAAAAACAAGGTCACCGAACGGGCTCTTAATATTTGATCAAATCGTACCATATCAGATCAGTTGAGCCCAAATCAAATCATTTCTCTAAAACTAAGAATAAATTTGCCGTTGAATTTGAGATACAATAACTCTAAATATGCTAATAAAGTAATAATGCACCTTGGGTAAAAATTGGTGCCATTTTGATTTTTGAAACT